TAGACCTGCCTTATTAGAATTAAATAGGATTCAGAGCTTCATCAAGAAAATGCATCACAGGGGCTGGGGATTTAGCTCAGTGGCATAAGCGCCTGCCTTGCAAGCAGGCAGTCATGAGTTCGATCCCTGGTACCGGTAAAAATACCAAAAAAAAAAAAAAAAAAAAAAAATGCATCACAGAATGAATGAATGCAAAGGAAATAACAAATTTTTATTTGTCTTATTCTTAATTGATCTAATAGGTAAGAAGTTTATTCAAAATATATATTAAGAGCAAAAATTCACTTGATTATTTATCTTTTGTATATATCCTATGCTTATAAGCAACTTTCCTTCATCTGAAGTCTCTAACTCTGAAATTAATACTGCTAACCCTACATTTTTCATTAATGCTAACTCTGCAGTAGGTGATGTTTAATGTGATTACGGATACCATGAGTTTAATGTCTACTGCATTTGTTACTATTTTGTATTTGTTTCCCTTCTTTTCTGTTATTAATTTGGCTTTCCACTCTTTTTCTGCCTTTTGTTGTTTTGATTATTTTAAATAATTATCTTTTCTTTCCTCTTAGTATATCAATTATATTTTTAAAAACATTTTTGGTAGTTGCCTTAGCATTTGCAGTATGCATTTACAACAAACCCAAATCCACTTACAAATAATTATATTCCTTCATGGATAGTAAAAGTACCTTATAACACAAGATTTCTAATTCTACCCTGCTTTCAAAATGTTCCTGTATTTTGTCTCAGCAATGAGAGAAAAGTAACTAATACACTGATCAAAAAGAGATAATTCACATTATCATATCAATAGACATAGGAAAAGCACTGAAAAAACTAACATCTATAAAGTGATATAAACTCTCAGAAAACTAGAAAAAGTCTGCAACTTAATCAAATTTATGAAGAACATCTACAAATAGCCTAAAGATAGCAACACAGTTAATGGTGGTAAACAAGAAGTTTTTTGCTAAAATCCAAAACTACTGAAAACTGTTCCCTCTATTCACTCATTTCAGCATCATGCTGGGATTTGTGATTGATGCAATACGTCAAGAGCAAAGATAAACCTATAAAGTTTTAGAAGGAAGAAATAATGTGTTTGCCCAAAAATGGCATAATTATCTATGTAGAAAATCCAAAACAATTGACAAAAAGGAAAAAGGAATCCTAGAATCAACCTTGATTATCACAAGATTGTCAGGTACAAAGTTAATATGCAAAAGTCAATAGCTTTCCTATACAACAGCAATGAACAACTGGAATTTGAAGACAAATTATCATTTACATTAGCATCCCCAAAATAAAATACTTAAGCATAAATGTAACAAATCTTATACAAAAATATCTAAATAAAAATATTAAATTATGATGAAAGAAGTTATAAACCTAACAAATATGGAGACATTAATGTTAATGAATAGTTACATTCATTGAGATGCTAATTCTTTCCAATTGAATCTATAGATTTAGTGCAATCCTAATCAAAATGTCAGCATTTTGTAAATAAAAAAAAGTTGATTCTAAAGTGTATGTGTTGAGGGGAAAAAAAAAAACCAGAAGAATCTACTGAATTTTGCAAAATAACAATGTTGGAGAATTGACCTGAACCAACATTAAGACTTAGTATAAAACTATAGTAATCAAAATAGTATGGTACACAAATAGATCAATGGGACAGAATAGAAAGCTCACAAATTGACCCATATAATTATAGTCAACAGATTTTTGACAAAGGAACAATGTGGCAAAAATACAATCTTTTCAAGAAATAATGCTGAGAAAATTGACCCTTCACAAACACACAAATGTAAGACAAGAACCTTACAACCTTTATGAAAACAAACTCATAATACTCGTAATAGTATATGTCCAAATATCAAAAGTAAAACTTTTAGAAGATAACTGCTATAGTTTTTGGTCTTTGTTGTATCAAAGGATTTGTCCTCAGGGTGGTGATTTTGGGAGAATGTAGGAGGAGATGACTTGAGAAAGGTCTTCAAGGAAATGGGGACATGGCTTCAAAGTAGATTGGAGTCTCTAGGTCTTTTCGTTTGTTCTGAGTCATGAAGTGGGTAGTTTGTTTTATAATGTATTCCCTGTCACTGCCACCCTGAGGCTTAAAAGCAATAGACTATAAAATCTAAAATGCAGGGCTGGGGATTTAGCTCAGCGGCATAAGTGCCTGCCTTGCAAGCAGGCAGTTGTGAGTTCGATCCCTGGTACCGATAAAAAGGAAAAAGACAAAAAAAAAAAAAAAAAAATCTAAAATGCATCAGTCTTTTCCGGTTATAAGTTAATTACCTCAGCTATTTTGCAATAGTGACAGCAAACTAACTGCCACAATAACAGAAAATCTGAGTGACCATGGGCATGGCAATGAATTTTAAATAGAACAAAAAGGGTTGTTCCATGAAAAATATGTTAACCTAGATTTCATTAAAAACAAACACATCCTTCTGGAAAGACTCTATCAAGAAAATAAAACGACTCACCAGAGACTGTGAGAAATATTTGCAAAACACACATTTGATACTTAAAATTTTAAAATAAGAAAATGAACAGCCTAATTTAAAAATGAACAACAGATATGAATTGACATTTCACCAGAGAAAACATAAAGGTGAAAATTAAGCATATTAAAGAATATTCAGCAGCACATATAATTAGGGAATTGCAAATTAAAACAACAATGAAAAAAATGAACTGTAGGTAAATGTTTTTGCAAATAACATAAAACCATGAAAGTACACTCTAAATTACATAGGTAACAACCTATATTTTTAAAAACATGATTATATTGAATGATCCTATAAAATAAAAAAAATAAAAAGTTTTAAGCCCAGTAGATGAGTTGATTAGTGGAAACAATAATTAAAACAACAAAAATAGAACATCTAAATCATGTGGCCTGAACTTTGAAATTTGTTATAATCAGATTTTTGTTTACAAATCATTTAATGACCCTGAATATTTCAATAATGAAACAGGTAAATTAAACATAATGGTATGCCAGTTTCACTGGGTAGAAAGAAAAAGGGCTGCATATTAGTAGAAATTATTTCCAAGTTGTAGTGAGACATTTATAGGTGAAGAAATCTTCAAAGTTGATGGGATAAATGAAATGTTACCCTTACATCACCATTTTCATGAATCAGCAGAACAGTAGCTAACTACTTTTCTAAACTACTTCTTCCTCTTCCCAATAATGGGGACTGAACCCAGGAAGAACCCTGAGCTATACCCCCAGCCTACATTCATTGATGGAACTTAATTTTTTTAGAGGCAGGAACTTACTATCCTTCCCAGACTGGTCTCAAACTTACCATCTTCCTGACTCAGCCTCCATGGTATCTGGGATCACATGTGTGCCAACATGCATGAGTTCTTAAATATGATAAGAATCTGAATACTGTACCATAATCCAGTATGGAGGCAAAGCAGACCCAATGCTTAAGTGATTAGAGATGGTGAATAGGAACCATGATGCCTTTTGCACCCATTCGGGCAAAGTTTGAACTCTGAGAAGGCTGTCCATGTCCCTCCACTTTGGCTACCCAAGGGAAAAATGAAAGTAATTAAGTTTATGGCTCTCAAGAATCAGCCTGGGTTATATAAGGTAAAAATGTAAAACTCATCAGACAAAGAAAATGAGCTATTATTGCAAAACTAATTGGAAGATAATCCCCCCTGAATGGGGTTCTCCGGGTAGGGGAGAATGCTGAAGGACACAAGGTACAATAGCCTGGCATGATCGCCAGGAGGTGCTTCTGAGCTTACTGAGAGAATAAGTCTACTGCTAGAGCAAAATAGATATAACTTTAAAAACTACTTACTCTACTATTTAAAGGTATTAATGCTTTAAAAATGAAATGTTTGAAAGTCTATTAAGGTTAAACTAAGGAACCTGTACATACTCTGTGCCAGGCATAAAACTGTATTTGTGACGAGAGAGTGAGTTCAAATTTTATTGCTAATAAACAGAGACATTCTGTTTTCAGCACAAAGAATAAAATCACATTTGTGGTAATAAATGTCTCCTCTCCTGGTCTCAGAGTAAACCAGTGTGTGTGCTTATCATTCTTCTTCCTCTCTTAACAAATGTGATTACCTGCTTTAAACCCAACTTGAGGTAGTAGGTTTAACATTGCATTTGAGAAAAAGTTTACTTACTTTTTCTCAAATGCAATGTTTTCACGTATATATTTATTGAAAATATGTATCAGATCTTTAGAAGGGAGCAAGTATTAGTGTGACTTTAAAATTCAGTCCCCACTAAAGCCAGATCACCCCAGACAGCAGCACTCTCTTTAACAATTTAGGTAATGAGAAGGGGTCTTGTAAAATACAAACTCATTAGATTCACTAATCAGACAAACTGGAAATATACTTAGGTTTATTGAAAATTACTATCTTTATGTGAAATAATAATCTCTTAGAGCATTATATCTACTGTACTCTTTCAGATTAAGAAGCTGTCTATAAACTGTAACATTATGATTCAAGAGAACCGTATTTGAAAATGACCCAAAATGTTACAGAATTTTACTTACTTTTAAAAGTTTAAGCTTATATTTTATCCCTGCCTTGAATTTATTTAAAAGCAAAATATTTTGAAAATACTATGTTCTGAAAAATACATATTCTCGCAAAACTGTCACTAGGAACAGAATTTAAAGTTATAGAATCTAATTTTGAAATATGTACATGCTTTTGAAAGGCCAAGAGGACCTATGTAGTCTATGAGTAAAGATGACCAGAAGCATTAATTACAACACGGTATTTAAACTAAGAGTATGTTTAATCATTAAATACAGTTTCAAAGAACAAAATACATGCTATAATTTATACAAAAATGATTTCCACTGGAGACAGATATAGAATTTCTCTATGAAGAGAGACAGAGAATTTTTCATTCACAAATATATTTTAGATTACATATATCTATATAAATAAGTCCTTATTGTGTGGTAGAAAAAATAAAAAACTTAACATACTCTGTTTCGATAGGTAGCATACTTCCAGTCTCTTATCAGGAGAATATCCGTACAGTAGGTGTGCTTCTTGTAGGGCACTTTTGTACCATTTCTTTTTATTCGTACATTTTTCTGGCTATATAAATACAGAAAAATAAGATATATTTTTAAAACAAAATTTTCTTTTAAAATCACATTTGATTTAACTCTATTGAGCTAAAACTAAATACAACTGGACTATTATGTATCATTTAGACTTTAGTGTCTGATTGTATTACTAAATTTAGCAAAATTGTAGGACTATGAGACACTAATAGCTAAAAGGGTCAAACGCTTTTTTAAATAAGGTAAAATTATAATATGATTTATCTTTTACTTAGGAAGTTACAACAGGTTAAAACTCTATGACAAAGTGGTCGATTTTCCACGTATGTTATTAGAATAATATTGACATACTTTTTTATTTTATTTTAATTTTATTTTAAAGAAATGAGAAAAAAAAAAGAAAGATAAACGTAATAATGAAACCAAGTTTCAAATCAGGTAGTTGGATCATTACAATAGTTGATATATTATGTACTATATTTGTAGCTGTTGTTCAGAATATGAGATACAGGCAAGATACCTTATCCTAACATTATTAGCATAAAACATTCTTTTTAAGAAACTAAAAAGCACTAGATGTATAATGACCTTATCTATCTTGTATATGTGTATTTTTTCTTTTCCCTTTCTTCCTCTCCTTTTCCCCATCACAGTTTGTCTTTTCTTTTGACTAGTTTCTTTCTTCCCAATATCTATTGTACATTTAAATCCTATTTACTTGTTCATTTTTTTTACACTAGTGAGACAATATGATGTTTCTTTACACATACTGGTCTGATTAATTTAACTTATGAGCATGGTCTCAAGTTGCATCCATTTTCCTATAAAAGTCTCACGTTTTTCTTTATGGCTAAGTTAGATATACATAGATATAGATAGAGATAGAGATAGAGATAGAGATAGAGATATATAGATATAGATATTTTAAACCCACTTCTTTTTTATCCATTCCTAGGTTGTTGGAAATCTGGGTTGTTTCCAAGATTTAGCTATTACACATTGTGTCGTTACAAACATGTTTGCACATATATCACTGTGATATGTTTTTAATCCTTCTGGAAAGATACTCAAGAGGGATAGCTGGTTCGAATGGGACCTCTATTCCTAGTTTTTAGAGAAACCTCCGCACTGATTTTCCTAGTGGTTGCACCAGCCTACATTCCCATCAACAGTAGAGAAGGGTTCCTTTTCTCCGCAGCCACTCCAGCATTTGTTATTGGTAGATGTTTTTGATGACAGTCATTCTTTCTGGGGTGAGAGGGAATCTCAGTTCTTTTCATTTGCATCTCTCAAATGATCAATGACACTGAACATTTTTTCATGCATTTATTGTCTTGTCTTATTCATCTGAGAAATGCATATTCATCTCAAATGCCAATTTATGAACTGCATCTTTGAATGTAGGGGGTTCTGATTTTTTTCAATTCTTTATGTACTATAGATACAAGTCTTTTGTCTGTGAGAATACTAGCTTTATTTTTTTCCCACTCTGTGGGTTGTCTTTTTACTCTGTTAGTAATTTTTTTTGTTGTGCAAAAGGTTTGACATCCTTTTAAGTGATAGAGCATTAGTGTTGAAGCAGTAGCAAATGAAAAAACCAAGTTTATTACAAGAATTAATTCTATATGTATTTAGTTTTTTGTAATGGCAGATATTGGCAAATTTATATACTTTTGTTAAACTTTATTGCCATGGCTTATCTGTAAAATGCAAATATTAACAATAGATATATCATACAATTGGAAGAGTAATAAATGAAAATAGATGACACTTCTTTGGGATAATAACAAATCAAGAGTTAATCTGCTTAGATACAGCATATTGCCTAAATATTCATTTAACTTTTACAATATAGAATAAAAAAACTCTAGGATGAAAATTACTATAAAAATTAGGATTCTGTAGCTTTTTACAATTTAAAAAAAACTTTTCAAGAAAGTTTATATAATATTTTAAAATACTATAATTTATAAAATTCTTGCCACTATTTTCTTTAGAGAACTTTAGCATGTATTATGAATTAACATATATAATAGAATGAATAAAAAATATATTCATTATATGAATCTATATTTACCATATTTCCATAATCATACCTTTCTCTCATGTGTATAATTCAACTTTTACACATTAAATCTATGTAATATCTATACAACATTATTTCAGAGAATGAAACTATACATTTTGGTATACAGAATCCATAAATAAAAATAATTTTTAAGGAAAAAGAAACATAGGATTGCTAAATTTATTAACACTGAAAATTTTAAATTATTTTAATATCTAAGCTAGCTGTTGTATATTTAAGACATTTTTGCCACTGTAATACTATCAGAATGTAAAATAAATTAAAATGAAAAATCACCTAAGCACTTAAATTTCGCAAAAAAGTTTCTATAATATTCCCTCTAGGAATAGAATTAAAGAACTAGCTAAGAAAATGTACCTATTGAGAAAAACCAATGTGACAGAGTTAAAATAAAACTCAGTGAGTCAAGGGAATTGAAAAGCTGTTCAAAACTTTCTTGGGACCCTTTAGGAACTTATTGGTAGGCATGCGCCACCTACTGGTAGTACAAATTAACACTCAAGCAACTCAAAAAGAGTTCTGAATTCCAGAATTATGCTGAAATGTGCATTGTACACGAACTGATAAATCAGTGTAGATTGTTTTACACAAATAAATGTGTTTGCTGTTCATAAAAAAACTAATACATTTTTGAAAAACTTTATTGTGTTTTTTGAAGCAAAAATTAAAAGAACTGGTCTTATTTGGGGGAAATATGTACACTCACGTACAAGATATATTATGTACCATTATCACTATTTATTTGAAACATGCCATAGTAATGTACAGTTACACTGTCTCCAACATCATGCAATTTGAAACAATGCTGCAATTTAAAAAAATTTACCCACATTACATTTTCCCCATAGGAGAGTTTATTGAAGGATAAATTCCTAGACATTGAATTAGTGGATTTAGTGTATGAGTATTTTAAATTTTCAAAGCTAATGTAAAATTACTTGAGTGAGTTCATAGTTTACTGCATCACAAACTTGGCATGAAAAACTCTTTTGATTCAAGATTTTATATTTTTGTCAATCTTGTTGACAAAAATTATTTCCTATTTATTATCATTTTTATAGTCAAGCAATTATGGGTTTGTTTTCATATTTTCATAAATCATGCATATTTCTAAGGAATGACTGCTCAAGTTCCTTGTTAATACATATATTGATCTATTGACTTATGAAAAATACTTATATACTAAAGGAAACAGCCCTTTGCTACATTTGTGACAATTAACTTCCTGGTAATACTTTGTCTTACACTATTTTTGAAATTTATTGGTTGTTACTTTAAATTTTTCATTTTTCTTTTATTTTAATAGTTTACTGCTAGAATTTAGATGTACACAATGTCACATTCATTTTGGGAATTTGTACCTATATGTGATATACACTGTTTTCTCTTTTATTTCCCAGTCTCCTTCCATCCCTTCAACTCATCTTCCTCTCCTCATTTACAAAGCTTTGTTTCCCAATGTGGAAATACTAAATTTGCTGGAAGAGAAAAAGGATATAATACTTTTAAAGACATAGGTGTAGGCAAAGATTTCACGAACAAAACCCTCATCACATAAGAAATACTACACAGAATCAACAAATGAAATTTCATTCCATTAAAAAGTTTTGTATAGCAAAAGAATTTACCTATAGAATGAAAAGACAACTCACAGAATGGCAAAAAATTTTAAACAGTGGTCCCTCAGACAAGGGACTGATATCTACAACATACAAATAATTGGAAAAAAATGGAAGATCCAAATTTAAAGATCCAATCCAATCATGGACATCTGAGATGAAGATGCGCTTCTCCAGTAAAGAAATATGAATAATAAATAAATGAAAAAAATGTTCATCATTACTGGCCATTTGAGAGATGCAAATTACAACAACGTTGAGATTTATCTCACTCCAGAAATAATGGCCATTAGCAAGAAATCATATTAAAAAATTGCTGCCAGGTCTGTGAGGAAAAAGGAACCCTTTTCCATTGCTGGTGGTGGTACAGACTCGTGCAGCTACTGTAGAAATCAATTTAGAGATTCCTCAAAAAACTAGAGGTCAAAGGAACAACTGACCCAGCAATCTTCCTCTTGGACATCTTCCTGAAAGAATTATAAACATCTTATCATTTATAGCAGCAGTTTGTAATACTAAATCTTGGAAACAACCCAAATACCCATCAACCAAGGAATAAATTTTTGATTCTTCTGTGACAAATATGGATCTGAATATGAGATATAACTCCCAACTTCATTTTTACCAAGTAGGTACCATTTGAATCTACATTTATTGTATCATACTAACATAACTTCACTTGTTTTTCTGAGATGGGGTCTTACAACATTTCCAAGGCTGATCTTGAATTCCGGGGGAATCTCAAATGGTCTTCCTGCTTCAGCCTCTTAAAAAGCTGGAACTGCACACATGCATCAGCCCATGCTTCTACTTTATTTGTATATGGCATTAGCTGTTATAATATCAAGTACTTGTGAGTTAATTTGTGAACTCTCAGTAGTGTTCTATTAATCTGTCATATTACTTTAAGTAACAACTGCTTTAATTATTGGAGTTTTGTTACATTTTTTTGTACTTTATGTTTTTTGTATTGTATTTTATCTTTGCATACTAACTTCCACTTTTTTTGGTCAATTTCCCTATAAATATGCATTTGATTTGTGCTGTTAAAATATTGAGATTTAAAAACTCAATTCTAAAATTCTTGCAGATAAAACTGACATGTTCTGCATTAAATTTTCCAAACCAAAAGAGGATTACTTATTTCTATTTACTAAAGCTTTTTTTGTATTTTAGTAGCATTTTAAAGTTTTATTCATATACATTTTACACAATACTTTTTAATCTTACTCCAGAGTATTTTCTATATAGGTACTACTATTATTAAATTATTTATTCTATCTTTTCAATTTGGCCAGTTATGCATAGTAATTATATAACATG